AATGAAAAAGGGTTTATTAAAAAATATTATTTCTCATAAAAAAATTGTGTGGATCCATAAACTTTTCAATAAGTTATAGCATTATAAAGATAAATATTATATAAATAATAAAATCGAGAATTTTCACACAAAAATAGCATTCGGTAGCCATTTTCGCCGCGAAGACAAGTCTAGAGGTCAAATTTTTTTTTTTCAAATTAAAGTATATTACATTAGCTTTAATTTAATATATATATAAAAGTGTCAGACCTTCCGGAACATTTTCAAAAGTTATGTTGAAAAAGTAAATTTTTTGTGAAAAAGTTGTCATTTTAAATCCCCCCCTGTGGGCAGGTTAAGTGTCAGATTTACAAAAAAAATNCTGTGGGCAGGTTAAGTGTCAAATTTACAAAAAAAATATACCAAATGATAGGTAATGACATCATGCATCTATAAAAAAAAAATTATGTTGATTAGTTGATTTTTGAAAAAGTTATGGCAGTTTTTAGTAAAAAAAATTGAAAAAATTTATAATGCTATAACTTATTGAAAAGTTTATGGATCCACACAAATTTTTTATGAGAAATAATATTTTTTAATAAACCCTTTTTCATTCGACATACTTTATCTTAATCGAGATATTAATAAGGAACCAGCAGATCAAGTAGCTTTTGGAATAAAACACCAATTTTTTTAAAATTAAACACTATCTAAAGATTTGCATCGAAGCGTTTATTTTTGATAGTGATTTTAATCACTGTCAGATATCATTATACTTGATCCAACTATGCCACGTCACCACTGTGCCGCGACCCCCCTGTGCTGGGCTTTTTTTTTATTGGTAGTTTTAAGTTATGATTTTTATAACAATGATATGACAAAATTACATCATTAATGATAATAATTTTACGTTTAATTCAAGGAATGTGTTCTAAATTTTTTTCTCGTCATTTTATTTTAAAGATGAATATTGCTTTCAATTGGGTTGATTTCCTTTGGTAACACCAATGTTAGGTAATATAACAGTTATACGTTTTCATTACATTATTAATCATATAATAAATAAATAAAACATGATAAAAAAACAAAATAATAAATTTAATTCTATTTAATTAAATTATTTTAAGGTATTTTATCTAAAAGACTATTCGTGTAATTTCTCGTGAGAACTCAGTTGTATTATTAAAAAAAAAAATATTGATACATAATTTTTATAAAAAATTCAATTAATTACAGTTACAATAATTATATATAATTGATATAAAACTGTTATAAGATTGTTATAGGACTGTTGTATTAACAAATACGAGTTTATTGTATTAACGAACGGAGTTGTTCATTAATAAACGATTGTTTATTTATTTATTTGAAAAAATTATTAATCAAATGAATTTGGTTATTATTGGTTAATAAACACCGTTTATTAAAATATTAATTTAAGTTGTAAAATTTTGATTTCGTTTCAAAGTGAATTATTTTTTTCATTTTATAAATATTGAAAATATTGATTTAAAATCTCCATGTAATTATATTTTTATTGCATCTATTGAGAGAACATATATTGCTAAATTTAATACAAATATACTCTTTATTAAAGTATATTTGATTAAATCAATTTGTACGTTTCACATTTTTGAATTTTTTTTTAGATGAAAAAATTGACAATTGGCTTTTTATGAGCAATCCTTGGCTAGTTCTATCAATTATAACTGTTTATCTACTGTTTATACTAAAAATTGGTCCAATTTTGATGAAAAATCGAAAACCTTTTAATTTAAAGTACATCTTGTTGCTATACAACATATTTCAAGTTATATATAATGGATACTTGGTTTTATTAGTAAGTACAATTTTTCAACTTTCCATTTAGAATATTATGGGTTTCATATAATTATTATACAACACAAATTTAGAAAATTATTTATGTTGTTATAAATCGAAATGTTTGAATAAAATACAACTAGCACTGTTAAAAGTCTAACTATACCTAGTTGCGACTAAGGTCCGTAGTATACATAAAGAAGTTTACGAAACGTCTTATTTAGGAACAGTGGTAGCTTATAATGTATAAAAGCTATCATGTCCCATGGAACGTGTTAAATACGTTGAGGTAGATGGCACAATGGTGACTGATAAATATCATAATTTATAACAAGTTTGTGTTTTAAACCATACATTCTTTTGACTAAAAAAAAAACGACCAAACGGGAATTTTAATAGCGATAAAACACTTTATTGCTAGTGCAGAAGTTAAGAATAATCAACTATTTGATTGTAAAAATAAAAATTGTATTTTATTGTTTAAATAATAATTTGACAGTTAAAATAAACCCGTTTATAATCTATATAGAAATATAAATGTAACAATATAGAGAAAAAAATTGTTAAATATTATAATATTAATTAATTTTTTTAGTATTTCATAACACCTGGAGCAATCACTTATCATTACAATCATTTATGTCATCCGCTTCCTAGACATATGAATCAATTCCTGTTGCATGAGGTTTGTATTTTAATTTTATTTTAATCACATTGTAATATTTGATGATCTCAAATAAATCTGACAAGATAAAAAGATAGACCATTGAAACATGTACACTTTACATAATTTATTATTATATATATATTTTAAGACTATTTATTTTTATGTTATTTAGCTCGATAAGGCATTTTGGTATTTCTTTTTATCGAAATTGATAGATTTATCAGATACTGTGAGTATTTCCTTTTAATATTTATTAGTATTTAAGTAAAAAATATATAAATTGCAATTATTTAAATGTTTACACTTTTACATTAATTTAATATTATTAAACTCAAAAAGTTATAAAAGCGTTAGCGACACAACCGTTTTTAACACGCTTATATTAGTTTCACATGTATGTTTGTTTATAACTCTCCATGCGCCACATTCACACCACTCTGTTCACCAAACGTGGACAACACTATTCCTGTATAATTTTATTTTTGGTTTTCGTACCCGTACACGCGTGCCTGTCATCAATATTATATATATATACGTAGGCTGTCCGATAAATAAGGTACAAAGTTATTTTTAGCATAAACAATAGGGAATTTCGACTGGAAATTTTTAGCATTATAATTTAGATAACAAGCAATATATTTTATTAGTCATGGCTATAATAATTAAGTGTTACGTCTGCAGCGAAAGTGTTAATATGGAAAACCAATATTTAAGTTGCACCGTCATTCGATTTTTAAATTTTCAAAATGTTTCTCCGACTGAAATTCATAGAAAAATAACTGGAGTTTATGGCCCAAATGTAATGTCACGAAAAAGTGTGTCGGTTTGGTGTTCAAAATTTAATTTGGGTCGAGGAAGTGTTGAAGATGAAGCAAGAAGTGGTCGACCAATAAGCACGTCCACTACCGAAACCATTAAGGCGGTGAAAAAAATACTACGATCGGATAGAAGACTCAAAATTAGGGAAATGGCCACACAACTTGATCTGCCAAAGACTGCTGTGCATGAAATTGTCCATGGGAAATTAAATTTTTGCACGACAATGCCACTCCACATTCAGCGGGAAAAACCAAAACTTGGCTGAAAAAATACAAGTGGGAAGTATTGCAACATCGGCTTAAATGCATTTTACCACCCCATCGAGTTTTTTCAAATTTATTTTTTTTTAATTGGTTTAGTTTTTTATACTGACCAAGAATATATAAAAAAAATTTGTCAGCGAAGTCCAGTTTAAAAGTTATGAGCTTTCAAAGTTTTCAACCATCATTGACAAATTTTGTTATATACTTCTGTTCTTTTTGTTTTTTTGCATTAATTCATTAGAAAAAGTATTCTCGATGATTTAGTAATCGAATTTTATTCATTTAATTATACTAAAAAATATATTTATATGTGTGTAGGTACCTAAATAAAAAAATTTACGTCGCGCCGCTCAATTTAAACTGTTGCTGTAATAGTATTGCTGATACTTTTTATACATGCAGTATCAGTTTCAATTCTAACTATTTAAAATTTTTTGCATTATTTAAATTATGATAATACGTTTTTATATTTGACAGTTGGCAACAAAGATCATGATGCACTGTTTCAGTAACATTGAAAAATAAACGATGTAATCTGTAGTATAATCTTAGTAGTTTACTAATAGATTACAGCTTAATTCTTTTTCTATTTAAGTTATTTTTTCTCACAATGAACCGATGGATGTATGATGGAAATTTGTACAAATGTCATTGTGGTTTAAATATAAATATTCGGGATAAACCTAATAGTTATTTAGAATCCAGTAACACGCATTTGTCGTGTGTCGTTAAGATTATACTGATCCAACGCGTTGTCGATAGTTTAAATACATAGCTAAAGATTATCACAACTGTAATTGTCATACCCAAGCATCATTATGCATTACTACTTCAGGAACAAATAAGGACAGACCGTATTACTGCTGTGCAAAACCGCGCACGAACCCATAAAGGTACAATTATTTTAAATGGTATTAAAATGAATACTGAAATTTCAATATCTAGTATAATAGTATTTTTTTTTGTTTTCAACAAGTATTAATTGATATACATAATATACAGTATAAACTTTTATTTTATTGAATTAACAATTCTAAGTAAAACACCACATCGTGGTCTTTTTTTTTTTTTTTTGCTCAACTTGAATTAATTGAGTTTCTTGTTATTACTTAATCACTTATATAAAATTTTATGAAAACCCCATTTTTATTTCGTATTGCGTAATTTTAATGTGCGTAGTTTTGAAAAAAAAAATTTGGAAAATCCTTATTTTTAAAGTTAATTTTGGTTTTAGGATTTTTAGAATGAGGATATTATGTAATAATTACGTCATTATAGTTTCACAATAGTATGAGAAAAAATCCCAAAAATTAACAAAAAAAAAACAATTTTTGAGCTATTTTTAGTTTTGATGTTTCAATTTTAAAAAGCTATAACTTTTAAACCAATTTTTTCAAACACTTTAGAAAAAAGCATTGAAAAACACACGTTTTAAAAAAAAAAATTTGAAAAAACTCGATGGGGTGGTAAAATGCATTTGTTCCGCAACATCAACTATATGGCCCTGATTTGGCACCTTCAGATTTTTTTTTGTTTGGTCTGTTAAAAAAATTTTTGTGAGGAACTTATTTTCAAAATGAGGATGAAGTCATGAACGCAGTTATCGAGTACTTCGATGAAAAATGTGCTGTATATTTCCGAGATGGCATCTTCAAGTTACTCTACCGTTGGGAAAAATGTATTAAATTAAATGGTGACTATGTAGAAAAATAGAAAAACATGTCCAATTATGTAAAAGTTTAAAAATAATAAATTCATTTTTCATTATTCAGTATATTTTTGTACCTTATTTATCGGACAACCTATGTATACAGAGTGGCCCACCACTCACTGACAACTTAAATAACTTTTGATCCAGTTAATATTTTTAGTTGATTTTTTTTTTAAATAATAGTTATACGTTAGGTCTATAGCTATATCTCAATAATTAATTTTTTTACATTTTATTAAAAATATTAATTATTTTTAAATTTTAAATAAAATGTAAAAAAAAAATCTAAGATAGCTATTTTGTAGAGTAGAATTTAAGAAAAATTTTAGTAAAAAAATATCTTATTAATATTCAGTAGTAAATATTCTGTAGCGTTTTGAAGTTTGTGAAAATTTGAATTTTCATGTACTATTTTACGGTATTAAACATTGAAATACGTATTGAGAAAAGGACAGAAGAAAACGCTATCTTTTCAATATACTTTTGAATGAGAGTGATAAGTAATAATTGCCTTATCTAATTTCTTATCATGGTATTTATGCCAAGTTTGTAATGTATACACACTATCATCATATGTATACACAGTAATCATGAAAAGATAGCGTTTTCTTCTGTCCTTTTCTCAATACGTATTTCAATGTTTAATACCGTAAAATAGTACATGAAAATTCAAATTTTCACAAACTTCAAAACGCTACAGAATATTTACTACTGAATATTAATAAGATATTTTTTTACTAAAATTTTTCTTAAATTCTACTCTACAAAATAGCTATCTTAGATTTTTTTTTTACATTTTATTTAAAATTTAAAAATAATTAATATTTTTAATAAAATGTAAAAAAATTAAATATTGAGATATTGCTATAGACCTAACGTCTAACTAATATTAAAAAAAAAAATCAGCTAAAAATATTAACTGGATCAAAAGTTATTTAAGTTGTCAGTGAGTGGTGGGCCACCCTGTATATATAATCTATAAACATATTTTTATTGTTACACGGCCCCGCCACTCGTGCCACCTTTATCAGCTGTCACTCTACTATGAGTATTTTTGTTTGACTGACCAATACCGCGTGCCATACGCTTCACGTATAGCGTTCCCCTCGCGCACTGCTTACCCACAAAAAACGGCTATACCTCGTGTATGATACATTTACATACTTAAGTCGCTTTACATGTATATATATATTCTAATTACTATTAAAATTTATATATTAACATGCTTTATTCTCATTAAAAGATGTAAAGTGTATTCATTCCGATTACAAGGGATGATTCTTGTATCGTCATTTTTTGTCACTACCTCCATGTTCCGGAAGTGCGTAATTTGCGCGCCTGCTGCTTTCCTTGGATGTTGTAGCCGTTTCTCAGACTCCCTCCCCGGAATTGAACCCTGATTTCCCGTTATCCGTTACAACCAAGATATTAATAGTAACTACTATCATAACATGAAACTAAAAAGTGAAAAATAAATATAGTTTAAAAAAAACACGCTTTTAATACACATAGCACATTAGTTGATAATATTGAGAAACATACAAAATAACCAAACATGTTGTACTATTTGTCACTAGAAATTGTGTACACTATTATAGATTGATAACAAAAACTATTTTTTTTTTACCCGTTGATAAATATAATAATATGTTAATATTTTTAAATATATAATTAATTATGTACAATTTTTTGTAGATTTTCTTCGTTTTGAGGAAGAAACAATCGCAAGTAACATTTTTACATATTTACCATCATGTGAACATGGTTATTACTTGTTGGTTTAGTCTTAAATACATAAAAGGTTTGATGATCACTTATATTACTTATATAATATATAAATGAAAAACTACGACCTAAACCAATTTAGCCATAGTGTAGTCTAAATTTTACAATTAATAAAATTGTTTTCCGAAGTTTGAACATAAAACTTCACCAGGCGAATTTTATATGTGCTTTTATGTTTGATTAGATACAATTACAAGCCCTTTTTTTTTTTTTTAATACCCACATTAATGTATAATTATTTTATATAGATTTTGAAAATACATAACTCCGCCCTTGTATCTGATTATTAGTTCGATCAGAATTTGTTAATGTAATTTCAATTTTATTCCATTGATGAATTGACAAATGGATTTTAAAAACGTATATTGATGTAATAGAGGATATGTATTAAAAAATATGCCCTTTCATAATAAGTAAGGAAAAGTGCGCGTGGAAAAACAGGATTTCAGGGTAGCTATAGATGTACACCAATGTTCTGCTTTAAGTCTTTATCTAATTTATAGAGTAATTAATAAAATTACTAAAGAAATATAAGGAAAATAGTAGAAAATAGGGAGTTTAATATTTTTTAATTTTTAAATTAATAATATTTTAATATAGTTTTTATTTTATTTAATAGGGAGGAAGTTAAAAAAATGTTAGATATGTGGAGATTAGCACTTGAAAGAAAGGGATTCAGGATTAGTAGAAGTTAAATAGGATATACAGAGTGATTTTTTTATCATAACCCACTCAATTACTAACAGAATAATGATAAATTAAACAATTTTTTTTCGATTATCTTTAGTTACACATCATTCTTGAATTATTAACTAAATAATACTTTTTAAGTTCATCCCTTATGCCTGGTAAGGGTATCAACTTTGTTTTCTTAAACGGGAACACATATTTTAAATTTAATAAAATTTTTGAGTTTTTAATTTAATAATAAATGGCATTTGAATTTTTAATATAATTTTATAATATAATAAAAATTGATCACTTGTGGCTAATTATTTAAGTAAAATTAAAACTATATTAAAAATATTATTAATTTAAAAAACTAAAAAATATTAAAAATATTAAACTCATAAATTTAAACTTTTCATTAATTTTTTGTGGCTTTGAGTTTAATAGTTTTAATATTTTTTAGTTTTTTAAATTAATAATATTTTTAATATAGTTTTAATTTTACTTAATATAGTTTTATTTGATTATAAACATATAAACATTTAAAGTTTCAAATTTTTGAGTTAATATACATGTATAATACACAAGCGATTACAAATACAGGTAGCTAATTGATTTTTTATGACATCGATATTAGCATGTGTACAGCATTGTTATTATCAATGATAGTAAGGTACATTGTTGTGAGTTTATAAATACACTAACTGACAATACAAAAAGTATATCTATTGATAGTCATAATTGATAATAAACAATCCGTGACTGTGATAGCAATATCATAAAAAACCAATTAGCTACCTGTATTTGTAATCCCTTGTGTATTATACCTATATATTAACTCAAAAATTTGAAACTTTAAATGTTTATATCTAATAAACAAATTAAGTTTTATTAAAAATTCAAATGCCATTTATTATTGAATTAAAAACTCAAACATTTTATTAAATTAAAAATATGTGTTACCATTTAAAAAAACAAAGTTGACACCCTTACCAGGCATAAGGGATGAACTTAAAAAGTATTACATAGTTAATAATTCAAGAATAATGTGTAACTAAAGATAATAATAAAAAAAATTTTTTTAATTATTATTATTCTGTAAGTAATTGAGTGGGTTATGATAAAAAAATCACCCTGTATAAGAATTTTAGAAATACTTACAGATTGACTAACATGATTTCATAAAATTTATGAACTTATAGTTATTATTACATTTCTAAAACTACTAGGGATAATTACAAAGTAATGTGTTTTAAGAAAAAATATAATAGAGGTTCCTTGGATATCTGAAACACTGTCATGAACGATGGGTTCATATAGTTTCTACTTTAATGCTCTTTTAATTTAAAATATTTTATAATTATTATTGTTAATATTATGAACTTATTTGTTCTATTTGACTGTCTTTGTATACAGTCACTTTAAATGTCAACCAATTAAATAAAGTGGATTTGAGAAGTTTTAATTAAAAAACTATTAAATAAAAGAAATATGTTATATTTTTATGTTTAATTGATTTGGACAATCATTTTTATTATAGACACAGAACAATTACTCTTGGTTGGACTGCTCAACTCTTTTGTTCATGTAATTATGTATAGCTATTACTTTCTATCAGCATTAGGACCTCATATGGCAAAATATTTATGGTGGAAAAAGTATTTGACTAGTTTACAAATTGTAAGTATGATACTTGTATTCTAATATTGAATAATCAAGTTCAATATATTTTTTTAGGCCCAATTTGTACTTATACTTGCTTTTGAAATGGGTCTGTTTTTATTCAATTGCACAATTCCGGTTTTATTCATGATGTATATCGCTGCTGATGTATCTTTATTTTTGTATTTATTTTTAATGTTTTATAAAAAATCGTATAAAGATAGGAAAACGATAAATGTTTAAATATATTAAAAAAAAATTAAGGAAATTAAATTTTATAAAAATAATTTTTTTTAAATTACATTATAATTTACTGTTTTAAATTTATGAATAAAATATTAAAAATAAAATATTCCATATTATATGCTTATTATTTTCTAAAATGATAACTATATATGACATTTTGTAATAGATTGTTTCGATTATTATAAGTTATAACATAACTTGTGATGTAAATATATTGATTATTTGTCAGAGGGTCTAATTTAGAAACGAAATACAAAAATAATTATATTTTTGCATTTAAATAATGCTTTCTTAACTATAAAATGTATGGAAAAAAGAGATCATTAACTTAATAAGTGAAATTATATTATACTGTATTAAATATATAAAATGTTTGATGATCACTTATTTTACTTATACCCCCTTGGTATTTATGATATTATATTTTTTGGATTACAACAAGTAACGTTGTAGCTACTGTAAAGTAATTCATACCACAATGTGATTAATACTAACAAATTTTCATGTTATGTGTTGCCTTAATAATTATTATCATAACCATTGTTCTAGAACGCCTGTATCAGCAACTATGTTTAAAATACATTTAGCCTTTGATCTGTTATCAAATCATTTATTGCTATCGTTAAAGTTTTGAAATAACAGCAAATTAATATTATTTGTTACAATTGTAGTTTTTTGTTTTTGTTTTTTAGTACTGTTGGTTTTTACAGTTTAAAATATTGAAAATTAAAAATGTAACATTTTATAAAAGATTATTTTAAAACTAGTAATCCCGATCAAAGTACTCCCTTACCTACTTTAGTCAAGTGTTTTACAAGTACCAACGTTTCAAGGAAAATCGAAGACAACATTCACAGCGCGTTGAATATAACGAAATATATTGGTAAACATATGTCAAATAATGAAAAACTTGAAGCACTTAATACACTTTGAATCTCAGGTAAAAATTATAATTTTCCTATTACGCTTAATGACAATAAAAATTTAAAATTTCAACTTTCTTGGTTTGAAAAGTGGAATTGGATTGCTTATAATAGTTTAGTTGATGGTGCTTATTGTAGGTATTGTGTACTATTTACTATAAAATATGGTGGAAAAGGAAGTCAATTGCTTGGGCAGCTTTGCAATCAACCATTAAAGAATTGAAAGCATGCTACTGAAAAATTAAAATCACATGAAAGCACTAATTATTATAACAACTTTATATTAAGTTATCAATCATTATCAAAAGTTGTTTCAGGGCAAACAACTTCTGTGTACGATAAACTAGATATAGATTCAAAACAACAAAAAGAAGATAATAGAAAAATCATTTTGCCAGTTATAAAGTCTGTGATATTCTATGGTCGTCAGGGAATAGCAATTAGAGGTCATCGAGATTATGGCTCTTTGGAATTAAATGAACCAACAGAGAATGATGGTAATTTTCGGACGTAATTAAGATTTTATATAAACGCAACTGGAATATCAGAAAATAATAGCCATGTATTAGCACGAGAAAACTGTAAAAAGCTCGCTCAGTATATAAGTCCGCAAATACAAAATCAGATTGTTGATGCTTATTATACAAGTGGCCCACTACTCACTGACAACTTAAATAACTTTTGATCCAGTTAATATTTTTAGCTGATTTTTTTTTTTAAATAATAGTTATACGTTAGGTCTATAGCTATATCTCAATAATTAATTTTTTTTACATTTTATTAAAAATATTAATTATTTTTAAATTTTAAATAAAATGTAAAAAAAAAATCTAAGATAGCTATTTTGTAGAGTAGAATTTAAGAAAAATTTTAGTAAAAAAATATCTTATTAATATTCAGTAGTAAATATGAAGTGACAAATATATAAAAAATAATCAAACTAATTGGCCGCAACGAAAAATTTGTAACTTTCATGGCGTTTTACAAAATTATAAGAAAAGGGTCGCCAACCTACTGGGCGAGACAATGTATTGTCGGACCACAGTAGGATTTTAAAAAAATTAACTCTTGTATATTAAAACAATTAGAAATAATATATAATTAATAAATATTAAAGTTGATGTCCGTTGAGTCGTTAATAGAAGATGTACACCAGAACCTCGTGACAGTTGTCACATAACCATATTGATCAGGGATGACCTTATACAAGGCCGTTGCCTGTACCTTATAAACTAGATGAGTTGATTTTTGAAAGGAGAAAAAAAATACACGAGTCCATTGAAGATGGAACACGCAAAAAAAAGAAAAATATGATGGTTCAGTCAAATTAAGGGGAATTTATTAAAAAAAAAAAACAAAAAAAATTAAGCTAACACGAGGCAAAAAACCGAACGGTCAAAAAACCTCGTCTACAATTAAAGGGAAAAAAGAGAAAAAGAAAAAAAAAACAGATATTAATACAAAAAATAGTTATACCTACACTTTTATTATTAGAGAATACGATGAACGTCTTCGGGTACCCACCGGCTATTAACCGCGGTATTACCGCTAAGCACGGCGGGTATACGTCCCAAGTAAGCGACTGGTTTTTTGCAGTTAGGCTTAGCTTGCAAGACGTTGGGACACCCCGGGATAAAATGCACTACGTCACCACATTGTACTAATAACATGTTCATCACCCAATAAAATATAATATAAAACCTATAAAAAATCACAAAATAAATATATATAACATGACAGGTGGTCTTGTACACGCCTGCCATGTTGCGGGACCTACATAAAAAAAATAGGGGCACCTAAATAAAAATAAAAAACTATAAAAAAAATATAAAAAAATTTGCCACACGTGCTTACGGCACGGCGTACAAAACAAATACTATGGCTCAAAACATGGTACACAAATTTATACATTACCAGCCCCGAAGGGCTAAAGAAACTAAAGAAAAATAAAAAAAACTACATAATAAACGAACAGCGGACACTCACGTAAAAAAAATGTATATATATAAAAAAACAGTTGTAGCGCACACAACAAAAATTACGACCGCTACGGACGAAAATTAGCGACGATAAGTTCCGATAATGGCTCATTTCCGACAACCCGTCCGACGTTTGACCCCGCGGTCCGTTGGCGACAACACGGCTAGCCTTTAGAGTAGGGATCAAAAAAAACTTAATACCCAGTGCCGGAAATTACTAAGAACAATTTAAATCATAAGGTGACAATGTATGCGGTGAGCAGTGCAAATGACGTTCAAAATGGGAAATGGGTGAATGTACACACAAATGCCGTCCATGAACCGGTCTGAAGTAGTACACAGCTGACTATCTCGCACGCGTATAAACAAATCACAACACCTTATCATGACAATTTTACCGACAAGCACCGTCGCAGTCCGCATTCGGCTCAACACAAATATATATATATACAGGGTGGCCCACCACTCACTGACAACTTAAATAACTTTTGATCCAGTTAATATTTTTAGCTGATTTTTTTTTTTAATATTAGTTAGACGTTAGGTCTATAGCTATATCTCAATAATTAATTTTTTTACATTTTATTAAAAATATTAATTATTTTTAAATTTTAAATAAAATGTAAAAAAAAAAACTAAGATAGCTATTTTGTAGAGTAGAATTTAAGAAAAATTTTAGTAAAAAAATATTTTATTAATATTCAGTAGTAAATATTCTGTAGCGTTTTGAAGTTTGTGAAAATTTGAATTTTCATGTACTATTTTACGGTATTAAACATTGAAATACGTATTGAGAAAAGGACAGAAGAAAACGCTATCTTTTCATGATTACTGTGTATACATATGATGATAGTGTGTATACATTACAAACTTGGCATAAATACCATGATAAGAAATTAGATAAGGCAATTATTACTTATCACTCTCATTCAAAAGTATATTGAAAAGATAGCGTTTTCTTCTGTCCTTTTCTCAATACGTATTTCAATGTTTAATACCGTAAAATAGTACATGAAAATTCAAATTTTCACAAACTTCAAAACGCTACAGAATATTTACTACTGAATATTAATAAGATATTTTTTTACTAAAATTTTTCTTAAATTCTACTCTACAAAATAGCTATCTTAGATTTTTTTTTTACATTTTATTTAAAATTTAAAAATAATTAATATTTTTAATAAAATGTAAAAAAATTAATTATTGAGATATAGCTATAGACCTAACGTATAACTATTATTTAAAAAAAAAATTAGCTAAAAATATTAACTGGATCAAAAGTTATTTATGTTGTCAGTGAGTGGTGGGCCAACCTGTATATCAGCACAAAATTTTTTTTATAAATACATTATAAGTACATCTTACATTTGACATACTTTTTATTGAAATTGGACAATTTCCCCTTATATAGGGGGCGTTTAAAACTTGAAATATTGTAAAAATCATAGATCTTTTTCAACTGAACTTTTGAAAATGTTCCGTAAATACTGCGTCCTTTAAACATATATCAAATCAAAGGTTATGTTATATACTATCAAATGAAAAAAAAAAAACCAGCACAGTGGGGTCGCGGCATCTGAAAGGGACTTTCATCTGAAACAAAAAAATACTTTTTTTTTCAACATTTTGTACTGTTTTCAAATCAGTAATTAAACTTTTTCTATCACTTTTAATTTTGACATTATAACTAATTAGTAAAAAGTAGTATTTATATATAAAAACAACCTAGCACAGTGAGGTGGCGGCAAAGTGGGGACGTTGCATAGTTGGGTCCAGTATAGATTTAATCTGACAGTGATTAAAATCACTATCATAAGAAACGCTTCGATGCAAATCAGTAGATAGTGTTTAATTCTAAGAAATTGGTGGATAATTACAAAAGCTACATTATCTGCTAGTTTCTTATTAATACCCTGATTAAGATAAAGTATGTCGAATGAAAAAGGGATTATTAAAAAATATTATTTCTCATAAAAAAATTGTGTTGATTCGTACACTTTTCAATGAGTTATAGCATTATAAAGTTAAAAATGTAACCAACCCAACCCAACATCAACTCCTATTTCCTTAATTATATCCAGATTAGTAATTATTTTAATTATATATTATATAATTTTTATAATTAATTATTTTCAAATTATTATTGATTTTTAATATGTTAAAAGTAATCATTTTGAACCTACTTCTTTTTGTTCTTTAAAGTGAAAGTTTTAATAAAAAAAAAATGAATTTATTACCATAACTTTTAACTCAACTTGCAAGTTTGAAATAAATATTATTAAATAGAAAAAAATGAAATTGGTAGATTATTTCAAAAACAACAATAACACTTATTCCCTTAATTTTACCCCGATTTATAACTATAATATATGAATACATAATAATTACAGTAATTAAATTGAGTATGAAAGTGGTATTCAATAATATAATATTGTAATTTTTACGGAGATATTATAAAAATAAAAAGGAGTTGTATATTCATATACTTTTAATGCGTATACAAATTTAAAGGAATTTATGCAATACTTTTTAATAAAAAAATTTTGTTACTTATGAATAAATACACTAAACAAAAGGAACTTTCATCAGAAAAAAAATATACTTTTCTAAATAAACTTTTCGTGATGTTTTCAAATGTGCAATTAAACTTTTTCTATTACTTCTAAGTTTTAATATTATTACTTATTATTAAAAAATAAGTATTTACATATAAAAAAAAATAATTAAGAACAAAAAAAATTGTATTAAATTAATACTGATTTTGATTTTTAATATGTTAAAGGTAATCATTTTGAACCTATTTTTTATTGTCTTTTAAAGTGAAAGTTTTAATGAAAAATACCTTCTCAGCTTCGCATCGAAGCTAAAAAATGAATTTGTTACCATAACTTATAGTTCAACTTGCAAGTTTGAAATTGACATTATTAAATTGAAAAAAAATGAAATTTTTAAGATTAATATGCAATCTGGAAATTTTATTATTACTATTTACAGTACATTTATCAGAAAAATTCGATTTTTTTGCATTTTTATCTTAATAGATAACTGAAATAGAAAGAATAGTAATCATTTCCTAATAACTTTTGGTGTTTAAAAAGATTCTGCAATTGAAATATTCAGAACTTAATTAATTTTAATAATTTACTTTAACTAAATGAACCAATCAAAACAAAGTAGTTAAAAAGATTTACTCAAATGAGCGTATTATAAAAAATAATTATAATAATTATAACGATAATAATTATAATATTTAACGATTTTTACAATCCATCGTTAAATTCAGGTGAAACTAAAAATCATTTTTTTTAAAAATTTATGATTTATATAACAACATATTACAAAAAAATTTTGCATATTATAGACTGGTAGTAGCACACACAAATAGAGTTAAAAAATTAATAAATTATAAGGTAAAATTATTTACTTTTGTAGTTGAATACTTTTATCATATCAAATCTAATTCGACAATAAATACTTGAAGAATATTAAAAATTAATAATTTTAATTGTTTGTATGGAAAAAGCTGGTTAAGCTACTTTTTATTTGAATAAGGAATATTTTTTTGATTTTTAAGAGTAATAACTTAAACTAATCATTAACTTAAATTTCATAAACTTAAATGAATCATTTGACGTATCGTTGAAAAAAGTAGGTCTAGCGAGGGTTGGCAAAATAAATCGTAGCCACAAAAAGAACCACATAGTGAAATAATATTAACATGAATATCAATTTCTTCTCACGAGGGGAGACTATAGTGATAAGATCCTTTATATTTATTGAAATTATTGAATCTAAATGAGATAAATATCAAATGATTTGAAAATTCTATTCTAACNAAATAAATATCAAATGATTTGAAAATTCTATTCTAACTCAAAAAAAAAATGCAAAATTTTAGAAGCCACAAACGGATTTGAACCTCGTACNACAATTTTAGAAGCCACAAACGGATTTGAACCTCGTACCCTAGGCGTGAAAGATCAAGGTATTACCCTTTCGGCAACTGTTCGTTGCTTTTTGTTGCATGATAAAATTAGCTATTTAAGCTAACTCAAATTTAAAAATTACTTTTTCGACTTTAAAAAAGTAAAAAATGTTAATAAGTATAATATCATATGTCTTATGAACTTTATTCTATGTCAATGAAACTATATAATATTCATGAAAGTCAGTTTATTCCCCTAATAAGATATTTTAAAATAAAATAAAATACAAAACTCAGAATTTTAATAAAAAAAATAGCATATTTTTGAATACAGTAGCAATTTGCGCATAGAAGATAGGTCGTCGGGNCCTTTTGCGCATAGAAGACACAAAAAAAAAAAAATAAATAAATAAATAAACACATCATGGTAAAATTAATACCTTCTTAGCTTCGAATCTTATCTT